CACCAGAAGTAAGAGTAGGAGACATTTATAGTCTGAGGGGTGTATTTAAATGACTTGTTTAACAAGACAGAGTCAGAGCAAATTTGGTGCAAGATACCTCTGCTCACCATCAATTAGATTATCCTGGAGAAACCAAAAGAGCAACAAAATAAATGGGTATAAAACAAGCCCACAAAATGCCTTTCATCTGAATGAAAGACGAGAAGCATGATTTTGTAGCATTTCATTTTTTACTTTCAATGGTTAAAAAAGTTATTTCAGAGATCCTGAAGGAAGCCTGCATCACTCAATAAACATTGAAGGGGTTAGCTGAAATCCAATTATTTATATTTAAACATCTACCTGTAAAAATTGATCTTTCACTCATTTCTCCTTTGTATACCAAGTGTAAGCAAGATCACTCAGCACACTGAGTAGACAGAATGAAGCTTTCAGAGCTACCTAGAATTGTATCCAGGCAACTTGCTTAGCAGGAAAATATAATCACATCCTTATGCCTTCAAGTGTCCAGAGTCCAGTGGTTCAAATCAAAGCTTGTTTTGAGTGTCTCTGGGTGAAAGGGAAGAGTACCCATTGTTATTCCCCTAAGTGGTATGTCATGCAAGAGGGGACAAGTCATCTTCAATATTTGTTGAACATGGATAAACAAGCAGTAGAACAAAAGAACTCTAACATCAAGAGGGGTTAACTAAAAGTCTCTTTCTCAGCCAGGCTCAGTGTGATTTCTTGCTGTAAAAAAAGGAATCCTCTGAGGTAAAGTCTTTGGCTGGACTAAAAATGGAAACAGAATCAGGAGGCTCACATGAAACCTCAGTTTTCACCAGGAAAAAAAAACCACCAAACTTTTCTTCTTCTCTTAGTGAGGAGAAAGAGGAAGGAGATAAAAGGGAAAAACATCCTGATTTAAAAATAAACTCAAATCACTGTTCTGCAATAGAGTGCACTGAAGATGACTTGGCACATTAGATGCTTTGGTCCTTAGAGAAACCTGAACAAGGGCCATGTAAACAAGTGCTGCTTTCTCAAACACCTGAGAAAAGACAGGCAGCTGCTATCAGAACCTGGACCTTGAAAATTAAATGCTTGAAAACATTTCCTTTAATTTGAGAGGAGACCTAGAAAAGTCACGTTCCAAGCTGCAGTTACTCAGAGACTAAGAGGCTATTAATGAGAAAGTGGAACCTCTTCAGTGGATCTTCCACATACCTGTGTAGGAGCCTCCCTGCCAAGGCAGTGATACCAAAGGCTGGTAAAAAGACAACTCAGGATTTAATTATGGGGAAGCTCAAACTGAAACTTAATCCTGCACAGAATGCAATTTCTGTTAGAAATCCATTTTTGCTCCAGGGTCCTGAAAGTCATGGAATACTGTAGGTTGGATGGGACCTCTGGAATCCAGCCAGTCCAACTGCCCACTCAGGGAAGGGACAACTGCAAAGTTGGATTCAACTTCCAAGTTAAATAATTGCATTCAAGAACCCTACTTAAGTCAAGCTCTGAGCACACCCAAAGACAATTCTACAGACTCTTCCCTCAGCTGTCTTGAAAAGTGCTTTTATGTCAAAGGATTAGGGAGAACTTGTTTTTAATCCAAATTTGCTTAAGCTCTTTGCTATTGACATAAGGAAAGAAAGGCATTAGCCCACCTCTCAGCATTACAGCATTAATGTTTAGGTTGTGTTTTGCTGCACAAATTTCTGGCTTCTCAGATCTTTCAGGTTCTGTCTATCCACACCCACATGGTGGGGGTGGCATGAAGCACTGTCATACAACCTTAGCTCTCCTTCAATTCACTGAGAACTGCTGAACTGTAACTGCTGCCAAACCTGTGATACCAAACAGCAGCACTTGCAGACCTTCACGTGACTGAGGTGGCTTTGTTCAAAAAGTTTGGGGTGGAGATTTAATCTTCCCTGCAGCAGAGAGGCAGTTTGAACATCCAATTGCTCTTGAGAGAAGACTGGGGACGTAGGACTACTAAACACTCCACCTTTGGGAATAATCCAACTCAACAAGGTAAGTGAACCTTCATGCAGGGACCACAAAAAAAAGGACTATTTTTAATCTTGTGTCTCTTCTAGGGCAGAAGAAAGTGTGGGGAGGAAAAAAAGGGTCTTTATTATAGCAACAGAAATGCTGGGTGGCATTTGGGCATTTGACAAAGAATGGTGAGGAATCCTTCCAGTCAAGAGATTTATCTTACTTGACAGAGTAATACTGGGATGGGATATGATCAGTGCAGGCTTTGGCCTATCACAAGCCATTTCTGGGAAAGAAGATAGTGTGATATTTTCAACTACATAAAGGAAATAGATGCTCTGGGAAAAGAAAAGAGATGACAACACTTTAGGGACAGGAAAAAGTGGACTTGAATTCAAGGGAACAAAGCCCTGCACTAAAAATTAGCACAAGAATTTTCTGAAGAAATTAGACAATATCAACAACAGTGAGTTGACATCAGTGCCCTCTGCACAAACCATTTCCCTTACTGTAAAGGAAAGAGATTAAAAATGGGTTTGATACAGCCTGAAGCAAAGAACCTTTGCAGACAAAACTATCTGGAGCATCTTGCTGAAGAATGCAGTGTGCTGTTTGCCTCTTGCAGCATGACAAATCACATGAGGAGGAGACAGCAGAAATAAATCCATTTCACCCCAATGTCTCCCTGTAGAACACTGCAGGCACAGGTAAAGCTAACTGGTATTTTTTATTTTTCCTGTCTATACTTTCCTTTTCAAAAAAGCTCCAATAAAACAAGAAAAATTTCTCCCAACAGCCATTAGCACAGGCACGTTAAAGTGTTTGCTGGATGTGGCTTTGTATACACAATTTTTTGTTCCAGCAGAAACTGCAAGCACTTTGTTTCTATAACTAAGACAAAATTACTCATTTGATGCATTTGCTTTTTCCTCTTTTTACCTGGAGTTTCCTTTGCAGTGAAGGAACAGTTTTTCTCTGAATAACCATTTTCTGCTGCCCTGGGGAAATCTCAGCAATCTCTTCTAGAAGCAACGCTCCGGTCCACAGCAGCAAAGTGGAAAAATGCCCTTATTTTGTATTTCACGTGTGTGCCCAAGATGATTTGGGAATCTGTACTTCACTTATATTTGCTATCAGAGCTCTGTCTAGACAAGTGGTCTGACACACAGTGGCACCAGACTCCTGGGGAGCTCCTGCACACCCCGTCTTGAGAGGTGACAAACATGCAACGGCCACCCAGAAAGGGACTGAACTTCAGAAAAGCATTCAATAGATATTTTCCCTGTAGGTCAAAGCCTCCCCCGTGTGCTCTGAAGACTATACAAGATTAAGCAAGGTCTGTATGAATCATTTTGCTGGTGGCAAAATCTTAAAAAAAAAACCCTTTAAAGTGAGGAAGCCACAGTGCTTGCGATGTTAGTGAGGAGATGAAAGCAAATTTCTAAAGCAGAGGAAGGCACCTGAGTATTTGGGGATGACAACTTAATCTCATCTTCCTACACTGCAACAGATGATGGGCAACAGCCTCCAAAAATCAGATTTAGGGAATCCAACAGAAATCCAGCCTCGAAAGAAAAATCATATTTAAGGAATTCAACACAAATCCAGCCCAGGTTTTCATTTAAACAAACAGGGAGCACAGCTCTGAGAAGAAGGAAAATGCCCAACAGTGTTCTGTTTAGCACACTGGATGATAAAAGGAGCACCATGAGAAAGGTCCACTCCATGAAAACTGAATTAAAGAGCTGAGATTAGATTGAATATGTCTGGTAGCCTCAGCCTAATCTCTGGCAAAACCAACAGCACAATAAGCACCTTCTACTTTTCCTTCTACCAAGGAAAGGCTCAGGGCTGTGACAGCAGAGGGTTTCAGGTCAGCACTTGAAAGATTTTGTCAGAGCTCTGCAGGAAAAACTATACCCTGCTTCAGCCACTGATTTTCATCTCTTACTCACACCAACTGCACTACTTTATATATATATATATATATCTCAACACCAGCATTCCACTAAAGATCTATATCTCCCTCTGCTGAACAGATAAAGGGAACAGCAGCCTTGATGGGAACCGCCAACTGGGTTTTTAACCTTTGTATTCCACGGATTCCCTGTGGCTCGAAGTTACAGATGACATTTGCAGGGTTATGGATAATGGCCTTTACACACTGGGGACATTTTTTTTACTGACTTGTCTAAAGCTTTTGACACAGCAGCCCATAAAACCTCCACCCTAAATAACTTGTTCACATTAAGGAGAGAAGGAGGAGACATAAAACATTAGAGATCTTAATCAGTTGAGAAAAGGGCTCGGATGGGAGGGGGGAGCAAAACAGATTTCTCCAGAACTCCTTTGAAACTTTGACCTTTATGGTTTTAAAGAGCTACAGTAATTTCTCACAGGAATAAGGGATAGATGGGTTTTGTGCAATTCAAGGAGAGCCATATATCAGACTGTTGGAGAAAAAATATTCAGTACACACAAGGAAGATTTACTAATGCTACAAAACTAATGAAGACAACAGCAGTAACAACCTGCAGCCTTTGGAAGAACTCATTCTTTATGTCTGAAAGAGGAAAAAATAATTATGCACTGTTCAGACTCCTAATCCAACATCTCATTGACTATGTAACATGTCAGACTTCACATGCACCAGTGCCTGGAGGTTGATGTCCAAACTTTTATGACACCTAGAACACGTGAAGAAAAGTCATTTTATGGTAAAAAGTGCTTCAATCCATGCTGTTTAAATGGACTACACCTTGAAAGAGGTGAAACTTCCCACGAGCACCAGGAGCCTTATTTGTACAACGAGTGTTGGGTACATCTATCAAAGCCAAAAAAACCTATGGCATTTGCTGAACAGATTTCTCTCCATTCAAGATACATATTGCACACAATATTTGGTCTTATTGCAAAGCTTTGTCAGCCCTGGTTCTTGAATGACTCTGAGTTGCACGTGTCATAGAACTGTGATGGAAGGAAAGGGCAGCACAGACTCCCTCAAGCCACACACTCCAACAGGTCAAGATCACATAGATAAGGGCTCCAGACATTAAGACAAGTGGATATGAACAGGAACATCCTCCCTAAGATTTTAGGAGTGCATTTATGAAGCAACAGCGTTAAGGTTTGTGGTATCAGCAAACATCATACAAAGAGAACCAAACAGGCTTCAGAGCAGTCAAAGTGGCTCTGGGAAAAGTGCAGGCTGCTGTCATATACAGTACAACACACAGCTGAGGACCTGAGTTTGCCAAATTATCAGTCAGACCCAATTTCAGTCCCAAACTACATTTTGCTTCACTAGCCTGAGGAGATATTAGCCTTCTTAACTAGGTTCTTGAGATGATGATCTAATTCATTACCTAAACTGCCCTCGCAGCAGACTCCACTGGAGGAGAGGAAGGAATATTAGTGGTTAGTGACACTATATTTCAGACAAGAACTCTTAAACCAAAAGCCAAAGGTATGGTGGATTATGCAGACAGGGAAACAAGCACGGGAAAGTGTGTGATGATACACAGGCATCCCATGTGGAAAAGAAGCAACGGACCCTCTAACTGGGCAATGAAATGAGTCACATGAAGAGCTTTGTACACACATCTACAGTCTCACTTCTTGCTATCTTCTTGAGATTCAAATTGCTAAGAGGAACCTCACCCAAGCATTCAAAACTCTACTCTTAAAAACTCACACAGTGCTCAGATGCTCAGACACCTCTGGGGTGAGAGCCCACACTTCACTGACAGGTTATAGATTTTCCTGTGCAACGTGACAATTTTTGCCAGTGTGTGCGTTATAAAAGTCTAAATGTGCATAGCACCCAAATAAAAGGCTGGAACAGTTAATCTACACATCAGTCTGAACAGGAGATAACACAGGAAGAGGATGACATCCCAATGAGCAATTTTCCTTTAAATGAGCTACCAGGAAAACTGCAGCTTTGGAAACTGCCGAGGTTGGAAAGGATTAAACTCTTAAGGGATGCAGCAAGAGCTAGTAGCAAGTGCAATTTGGCATTCTGAGGAAAAGATGAATGTTGGAGTTGCCTATCTGTTCCTGAATTTCAAGGCTCATTTAAATTTGAATTTGAATTTTGTAACATTGACTAAATGACTTCTGTGCCAGTTGTAAGACAAAATGTTCAGGAAAAGAATATTTAAGCAAACAATTAGCACACTCATTTCTGCTAATGACAGATTTATCCTTTTCTCCAGAGAATTAAATGGAGCTTTTCAAGTTCATTTTATTCATTCACTTGTTACTGAAGTGTGATGACCTCTGGGATAAAGTCAGGAAACTCCCAGTAGGTCCCTGTATTGCTCCTCACTATTCATTGCAAATGCTTTATCCAAGACTTTTTCTGTGCAAGTAAAAAAGTTGTATCAGCTTTTTAACTCTTGAGGCTTATGTGAAAATTGTACATGCAACATGTCCTGCACACTGATGAGAGGTTTCACATCCCTTTGTGATTTCCTAGGAAGCAGCTGCAGGAAGACACTGTGCAGTGCCTGGCAGGTCTGGCAGCATCTCTGATGTGCAGATACAGAAAAATCATCTTAACTGCAAAGATCCTAAGTTTAAATAACATGGTATAGCTGCACTTCTCCTCATTGTCAGTCCTGAGCAGAAGCAGAATGTGATCTACCTACCAGAGACAGAAAGATTGTCTTCACCAGGACAGCACGGCTTGGTTGGATATTTCACTTTCATTTACATCCCAGCACCCATGAGGAGGGATACCATTAAAGTCAACCTTCAAGGATGTGCTCTCACCTACAAAATCCCACTAAGCTCAGTGCTTCTGCTACAGTAAGTACCGTTAGTCCAAAAATATGATCACAGCCATGCCGGCTGAAAGTACAGATTCCTCCTAACAACCCTTGAAGTGCTGTAAATGCTTTCAAAGGTTACAACAAACAATACCTTTGCAGCGAATTCTGGAATGAGTTTGAATTGAAGGTGACAAGTGTGCACTTCCAAAACACAGACCTTGTCCCCTACTTCCCTGCCAACAGCCTCGGAGATCGTGGACTAGAGGAAGGTTATTGAATATCCACAAAAGGGAAAGACACCCTAAAGCCCTATACAAGTAATGGGCAAGTCCTGGAGTGCTGTATGCCACTTCTCTTTCATAAAAGCTGATTTTTGAGCAGCGCTGTGAAGTTTTTCCACAGGCTCGAAAGAAATGCCTAACCTTTGTCTGTGCCTCTGAACACTGTGCTCAATTCCTACGCTGAAGGTAATCTTGTAGCTCAAACCCGAGGAAGCTGCTTAACTCCACCCTAAACATGCCATATATTCACACAAATAAGATTCTTTCTGAGTGACTGCAGACTTTCAATACAGCAAAGTACTTACCCATGAGAATCTATTAAGGTAAGACCTTGCTTTCAGCTGGAAAACATTAATTCTCTCCCAAAAAGGCACACTGCCTTCTTGGTCATTAATATCCCATCATTCTCCTGAGCTGAGTGACAAGCCAGGCAAGTCACCCAGATCTGAGGCAGCGAGAAAGGCTAAGTCTACAAGGAGATGTTTGGAAAAGAGAAATCACTGCTCCAGTTACTGCAGTAGAAAAATCAATATTTCACTGGACAGTATGGTCTCCAAAGTGGTCCCGCTTGGACACCAGGTATATTAGCAAAATGGAATGATGCTGACAAAGCCACATGCAACCCTGAACTGTAAGTGCATCAGGGCCATGCAGAGACCTTAAGGGGTGGGTAAATAGTTGCAAATGAAAACAAAGCTGTTGACAAAGCAACAGGAGTCCTTCATCATGCTGATACTGACCCACAGTATCTAATTAGTTTCATGGCCATTCAATGATGAAATAAAGGTGGCAGGATTCAAAGCCAGAATACATCATTCTGTAACGTTGCAATGGTGCACAGGAAGCATCTTTAAATAGCATGGAAAACATGCTGGGGAAGGGCAAAACTACCTGTGAAAGAAAATCATGAAGTGAGGAAGGGAATAAGGAAGAGAGAACAGGCAAGAAACAGAAGAAAGCCCAGCACCTAAGAGAAGGTCTCATGTTGAGTGAGGATTTGCCCCTCCTTAGTTAATACTGGCCTCAATTCAGGCTGCCAAAAGCCTGTCTGGGGCTGGCACCGATGCTCTATGGTTAGGGCAGGAGCTAACCCAGAAAAAACACAATTCAGTTTTGACCACACAATTGCCAGTGTGAAGGAAGAGATGGAAAAGCAAAATCTGGGATGTTTAGGAGGGAGCACGGCATCCTCAGCGCAGGTAGTCTCAAACTCTGTGGCTGTAAGCAGTAAAACCAACATCAATCAGCACTGCCCCGTGTTTTCCCTGCCCTGGCCACTTTAAACTCACACTGTCAAAAGTTTGTAACAACACAGCAAAGCTCTTTGGAGACCAATCAAAGCTAAAATTAACCCAGCAAAACCTTAAGTTCTGACCATGATGTTCTCCCAAGCCCACCTGTACTTCTCTGCTGCTTCCACTTACTTTGTCAAGCTTTTGGAGAGTCTCTGTCATGGATTTCTGTGGCCCTGAGAAACCCCCCTCATTCCCCAACCCAACCTGCTACATTTGTGGTTCCTACATGGAAAAAAAAAAGCAACATAGTGTGTGAGAAGATGATGCCTCTCGAGTCACTGAAACTTCAGATTCCCGAGTTCTTACACAATCTCTGCATAATATATGGGAAATAAAAGGTCAGTGGTAGCTGCTGACAGCATGACAGCACGCTGGGAATAAAGCATTGCTACTATCAATAGCTGCACTGAGCTCACTGGAGTTCGCAGACAGTCTGATCTCACCCAGACCGCCCAACTTGGACATCCCAGTTGCAAAGCGCTGGGTGCATTTTCAGCCCTTGGTTTTCTTTTTTTAAAAGCAGGGAAACGGTAATGCTGGAAAATATATGGGTTGAGGACATTGGGGCTATTGCCGAGGCAGAACAATAACAGCTTCAGTCATGATTTATAAAGCTAATTTCAGGATAAAGCCCTATCTATTTTTAAAAAGAGGAAAAGACCACAAAATTACCTGATTTTGTATTCGGCAGTGATTACAGTTTATACTGGCCAATGTTTCAACCCAGTAAGCATGCAAATAGAATATTTTATTAAAGTAACAGACAAAAGGGGTCTTTTCTTCTTTATGTGCCCTCTCCATTGCAACAGATTTTATCAGGCTCCAGACACGCCAGCTTCCCTCTCACCTGAAGTGCCTGTCTGATTTTAAAAGAATTATTTCCTAAACCAAATACCCATTTCTCTCCTCTATAGGCTCTGCTTCCAGTTTATTGCTCATTTGTTCTGTTTTAGGCTACCAAAATGATTTTTTTTGGTCATCTAAAAGCTTTCAGAGTGAAGAGTCCAGAAAAGAAACATATATCATCCATATTAGATGCTAATCCTGGGATGTGCTTCTATAGTGGAACCTGAAGCCAGCTCAGTGCTCTCTCCTGAAGGAGAGTGTTCCTCACAGAGGTGTACAGTCTAACAACACTTTTGACCACGGCTACATCTCAATCAGAGCATCACAGCAACTCCTGTGACAGAAACTCCCATTTTGCTCATTGTGCCACAGGGTTTCACAGCCTGATTTTGCTTCAAAATCCATCCCCAGTCCTTCAGTTCCCTCCTTTTATTTGGCAATGGAAAACCCACTTCAAGGAGGCATTCTGAATAGATGGATGCAAGTGGGGAAGGGGAGAGGAAAATCTTTCCTTAGGGAAGGTGTGAAAGAACAGGACCTTAGGAAAAGATGCTCCAGCTTTATGGATGGTTAAGAAAGACCCTCAAGAGAAAATAAAAAAATCAGGAAGTGAAAAGAAAACTCATAATTTCAAAACATTATCACTGAAAAAAACCTTAGATTTACAGTCAAAATTACATTGCTTAAAGCAAGGTATGTTGGCTTTGAGCTATTCTGCATGCAGAAAAAGGGGAGGAACTGAAACGTGTATGTAATTTAATAACAGTACAGTAAATCAATTTACTTCTTTCCTTTTATATCTCAAATATTAAGCTTCCCCCAACCATTTAATCAACTGCTTATCTCATCAAGCCTTAAACTATAAATATAAACACACATAAATACAGACACATATATAGCATTAAGGTCCATCAAATCAACAAATAAAGTGAGAGCATATACAGGAACAGCACTTCTGTTTAAATACTGCACAAGACTGTGCAGGGCATGCAATGCAGGGCATGCAATGCTTGGCTCTTTTATCCTTGAATAAATCACTGAATAAGTAATTGAAACAATTCTGAAGACCTGAAAATCCTGTTAAGATGTGAGCAAGACAAGGCAGAGTTGGGACAGCTTTCTAAAATTGCCCACTGAATTAGTGTTCAGCATTTTGCCCTGCTCATCTTTATTCCTATTGGGGGCAATCAGGAATGGTCAAGTCAGTGTGCCCAGTTTGCTGCTTTTTCTTTTTTTTAAATACTACCTAAGGAAACCAGCTTTGACTCTTCCTTTACTGATTTTATAGCCCACGTGACAACTCACTATTTAACAGCCATGCTCCTTTTTCCACACACTAAATGAAATTAAGCAAAACTAGTTGAAACTGATGGAGGAGGAAAACCTTTGTCTACATCATAACACATTAAACATGACTGTTTTACTATGTGAAGTATGAAAGTAGACACTAAGTCATTTCTTTGCTCTGATTGTTTTTTACAAGTTCAGAAATAACATCTTTCAAGTCTCCGGTATTTCTTTAAATTTAATATGCCATTTTTTTCCACATGTATTTTATGGTTGAAAGATCAATTAGAATTCCTTTGTGGGAAGTCATTCCCATCAGTTCAATTACTCCATGTAATTGTTTCAGTAATTGTAGTTAAATATCCATTTTAATTTTTATTTAGAGACTCAATTACCAAGCATTAAGCAGATGTAAACACTTCTTCCCTGGTACAAATAAATACCATTTTACCCCTTGGCATTCTCTAAATCATAAAAACATGCATGTAGTCCTTTAAAACCTCCATATACCTTATAGGGTTTGCTAATGCTTCTTTCAAAACACACGTGAAGACAAACCCCATGGTTTGTTAAACGTGGGTGTGGGGATAGAAACAATCTTAACTGCTCCCACCCCCTGTGTCCTGCAGCTCCAAAAGCCTTCATGAATTTAGCTGTGCCTTATTCCCCCACTGCCTTTCAGGTGCAAGGAATCCCAGGTACTGATTTATCAGGAAGAATTCTGTTTCATGATGCTCTACATGTATATGTTAATCAGTGGCTGATCCATTTGGAGCCAGTTTTTCTCTAGAGCCATTCCCAGATAGCCCCCCTCATTCAAATGCTTCTAGTAGGTATTGTCATTCAATTCTATTTTTGCATGTAATTCACTAAACTTCAGAGATATGCCTGTCAAGCAAGTCAATATTTTACACTCCAACGTGAACACATTTTTTGCAGCATATCAAAATGCAAATTTACATTTTTTTCCCCCCCTCCTAAGAGTTACAACTGAAGTAGAACCAGCCTGGAAATGGGAACACTTGAATGAAACAGCAAACCAGCAGCTGCAAGAGTGATCAACGTATCTCCTGAAGTCCAGAGAGAGCAAATGTTGTCAGAACATCTACTTACAAGTGCATTAGAACTCCCTGAGGGGCAAGGAAATGCAGAGTTGGTTAAACATTTATAGGCACCTCAGTCTCAGTTACTGTATGCACAGCACAGTTTCCTCCCAGAGCGACACCTGCTCTGCTCTCAAATCTTTGTATTATCACCAAGAACCATTTAATCTAAGTGAATAAAAGGCTCATCGTGCCTTCCCCGCTGACTACTTCAAAAATAAAATAAAAACATTCACAGCCATCTTCGCCCAACCCAGGAAAACACGAGCCCACCCAGAGGGATTGGAGTTGGAGTGATGGGAACAGGCACAGCCGCTGTTTTACAGCACATTTCAGGTGAAACCAGTTAAAATCCCCAGTATGGCTCTGGAGTATTTATAGAGCAACGCTGTAAATCAGAAAGAACAACTATCACCATGTTAACACATTAACTTTGAGACTCTCACAGCCGAGCTTTGCCTGGTTGCCTTAGTGATCCCAATAAAAACACTAAGGACTTGTTTTCCTGGCTTTTATCTCTGATAGAGGCACCCAAATTAAAAAGTCAGGCTGG